TACACATTGGCAAACCTCCGTCATAGCCGGCTCATTAACTACCGTAACAGTCGCCTGCTGCATGCATCTGCAATCCAACTCATTGGCAACTATGCGAAAAACCGTTCGGGAACACTTGAACAACCGATGCTTCGAACACACTCTGGACACGACCGGAGTAACGACATCAAACACCAACGCATCCGCCGCAACAAAAGAGACCAGGAGTTCAAAAATACGCTCATCGCCCGAAACTGGGAGCGTGTACCTGTTTCCAGCACGCGCGGCAATCTCCCCCGAATCCCAAACAAAGGCGCAGCAGTCGTGTGCCGAGTTCCGCCGATGATGGGGACCCTAGAGGGGCTTGCAATCCAGAGGGCGCAGCGGAGCTGGGTAACTTCTGGCCCAAGCACCTTGGCGGAAAACAGAAATGCGTCTCAACGACATTGGGGCGCTGAGCAGTGTGTTGAAAACATTTGAAATCGTACACAGCGAGCGCGCAAATAAGCAGGACAGACACTGAGCCTGGAAGGGGATGATACGGCCATTCGCATTGAGCAATGCACTCCGACGTGTACTTGGTATCAAGTGGAATCACGCAACTTGTTGGACGAAAAGTACTGGAAATCGCCGGTCACTTCGTCTAATTTCCAACGATCCGCAAGAAAGCCGTCGATCATAAGCTGGGAGAAATGTGACATGATGCACGGCACGATCATGGTGCCTGTGTTGACTTGAAACTTTGCAGGCAACGCAGCCAGAACAGACACACATACAGGCAAAGACTTTTGGCTGCACATCAAAACAAACGCTACCCACTCCTTGCTGGGAAAGGCGCACGCCGTCGCCACGAGGTATGCTGTCACACGGTAAATGATGTGCACTATGACTGCAAGCAACGCGACAACTCCCAGATCCACGATTGGAAAGCTGACAATCTTGTCTTGAGAAGCAGAGGTGTTCAGCCAAACCACAAAGAAAATACAACAATTGGAGCATCGACCAAGAGGCTTCTTCCGATCGTTTGCAAACTGTGCGACCTGTGGAACGGCCCGCAAAGCAATTCCAGACAAAAGCGGCACAAGAGTTTGGACGACAAGATGAACTAGCGTTTTGAACCCATCAATCTCCACATGGGCACCACTGAAGATCACTGACATTGACCAAGGCAGGGTGAAGACCCCCAGAAGGTTAGTAACAGTTGTGATGATCAGGGCAAGGCCGATGTTCCCGTTAGCCGAAGCGACCATGGCAACACCCGAGGACAGTGTAGTAGGAACCGCGCAGAAAATCGCCATTCCTTGCAAAAGGGCCTTGTTAACAGAAGTCACCTGGCTAAGGTAAAGAATGGGCAGACCCACAAGTGGTGAGAGAAAGAGAACAAACATAAAGCTAACAAACAAAGCATTCAGCGCCTCTTTCCACTTTGTGATCCTCTGGAGGGTCAACCCACTGATCATAAAAATGAGGATCACGGCGACTTGTGACAGTGAGAAAGGCTGCAGCGTTGTGCTGATGTCTTTTAAGCTCCTGCCTGGAGCTGGGAAGAGTAAGCCAACAGCAAGTGCAGTGATAAGCCCCACCATCAAGAAATTCTTGTCGATCCAAGCCGTGAATTCCTCCATCGCTCCCTACCGACACCTATACCACCGAGACACGGAACGACACCTCGGATCACTGCGCTGGCTCTCGAGCAAAACATGGCTACGGAACAGGTCGACACGCTGCAGCTTAGGATGTGGCCCTTCCCCATGCCTACAGGGAGAGGGGGAGAGGGGACTGGAGAGGGCAAGGTAGAAAGATTGCGTTCTGCGTCAGCTGGTGCGGCACTGTGCCACTCGTTCTTTCCCCCTCTGGCCCTTAGCGACGCACTACTTGACCCTGCCCAGGCGCATGGATGCCAACACGCGCCCAGCTCTGGCCCAAAATTCATGTTGCCCTCAGACAATGCGCGCCACTTCCCCACAGGACCCCGAGATCCGACGCAGCGATAAAAAACAGCACAGTAAACTCACGCCCGCAGCCCTGGACCCCATCTTTCTGCTTCATCAGTTCCGAGACGGATCGATAAGTGAGGGTCCCTGGGCCCGAAAAGATGTGAAGCCGTCTGGCTCCAAAAAAACTGAGACGCCAAGATCTCTGGTCGGCTACACGTAAGAGTGAACCCAGCCAAGAGTGACCTTTGGTGCGCGACTTTCGGGGGCCGCCGGGGGGAGGCCGAACTGGATCGCGCAAGCCGCTGCTATCGCATCTCGCTCAGCCCTCTGGGGACCCCAGTGAGCCCGCACCAAAGGTCACTCCGGCGAAAGGTCACTCTTACATTTAGCCGATCTGGGGACACGCCTGGAGCGACTCCACAACCCGGCCCGTGGCCACCCGGCGACCCTCGCGAGCAGCCTCAAGCACTCCGAGCGGGCCCGAACATACCCCCCCCTCCGACGGCCTGAGGCCGGCCGAAGAACCGCCTGGGACGACTCCGCCTGCCAGGAGGCCAGCCCATGGCCGCCGCCCGACCATCACGAAATGCGGGCGGGACGACAAATGCGGGCAATACTTCTGTCCATATCCACTGCAGTACGAAGTTTCGGGCTCCCTTCCTAAGAAACCCGAGGCGCACTGGATATGGATAAAGTTGCCCCCTAGAGGCTCGATTTTTATCCATATCCAGTGCGCCTCGGCCTTGTGGCGCCGCTTCCAAAAAGTCCAAGAGGCACTGGATATGGACATGAATCTTGCCCACAACAAATGAGCGACGATCAAACAAGGGTCTCACGCGAGATGGCATCGCGACCTTCCGCGGCGGCTTACGCGTGCCGCTGGCGCGGCAGGCTGCATTCGAGACGAGGGCGCTCGCGTCGCTCACCTGGCAGGAAGCCAGCCCATGGCGGCCTCACCACCATCACGAGTTTTGGGCGGAACGACGAATGACTAAAATGCCCGCCAATCGAAAGAAGCAGGTCGAAACATGAAGTCGGAAGGCGGATAAAGTAGATTGGGCCCGTGCCCTTCAACATAATAACGAACCACACGGCAAAATCAGATCGGTTCTTGATGTGGTAAGGCGCTGCACGTAGATTGGGATCTGGGAATCCAGACATACTTACTTGCAACGGAGGGGGTCTAGTGAAGCGGCTGCATGCAGCTGTTGCCTCTGGCGCCTCCTGGCGCCAGAGGCGGCCATGAACAGACAGCCTACCACCACAACAAGCACGCCGACCAGCGAAGCAGGAACCGATCAGGGCAGCCCTGAGATGAGACGTAGCCAAGAAAATGCAACATCGAAAAAAAACACGCCCCCATCGTTCTGCGTCATTGTTGCAGCTGGATCGTTCTGTGAGGGTCCCGGGGCCCGAAAAGAGGCGAACCCGCCCAACTCGAAAAAGCTGAGACGCCAAGATCTCAGTGAGGGCGGTGCAGTAAACGCCCAAACGTCACTTATGGTTAGGTCGGGCATGTCCTCCTACAGGCGGATTTTGGCAGAAAAACAATCAGAAGAGCACGAAACATCGTCACCATGCGATGTTCTACTACTCTTGACTCTCCTCCTGTAGAGGGACATGTCCTACCTAGACCTGAGGGACGGCCCGAAGAAACCCGAGCTCCTCCTGAGCCCCAAAGCGGTCTCTCTTTCAAAGCCTCGGCTGCAAGACGGGAACCCTCTGAGATGACTGCCTACCAAACCACCCCAACCCAACCCGAAGATCCGAACTTCGGGTTGGGGGGGGCATGGGCTCCATACGTGCCTTGTCGATGTTCCCGGACCCCCCCCACTGGAAATGGAGGGCAAATTGAGGCCTTCGGGTTGGGTTGGGGTGGCTTGGTGGGTGGTGATGAGATCTGGGCGACAGTCAGCAGCGGGTCTTGCGCGAGCTGACGCGGCGAGCCTACGCGGCGGCTCACGCGGGCCGCCAGCGGCACGCCTCAGTGAAGACGAGGGCGCTGGCGCGCGGCCGCGTGCGAGCAGCTTGCGCGCCAATGTCGGCGCAGACGACCCCGCTTTCTGGCGTCGCTCATCTCGGGTCGGGCGAAAGGGGGGGATAGCAAAGGGGGGGTTTGAGAATCAGCTCACGTAGCTGATTTTCCCGGCGCCTCCCAGCGCCGGAGGGAGCGATGTATCGAGGAATGGGCCCCTCGGTGAGGCCGAAACCAGCGGCATGCAGCAAATTTCGTAACCCCCCCTTTCCCAATCCCCCCCTTTCGTCCGGCCCGATCATCTGGCGACCCCGACGCGAACTTGGGTCGGGCAGGTCCTCCTGCAGGCGCATCTTGCACAAAAAGAGGAAAAATCGTGAAACAACAAAAACAAAAAAGAACACACAAGAAAGACAGGCCCGCCTTGAACGTAAACCACAGTCAACCCGTATCATAAGGATGTGCGGTAAGGATGCAAGGGCCCTGTAGGCCCACGTGGACGGTTTTTTTCGAGCGAGGCTGGCCAGCGAAAGTCGCGAAGGATGGGCCGAAGGGGCAACGATGCAAGGCAGCCCTTGGGAAGGTTGCTCGCCCTTCCTGTGCGGGTTGACTGCATGGGGTTCGGGGTGGCCTGCCCTCCCTTGATCACGGGGCCCAAGGACACACACATAAATACACACACAAATAAAGCGATCCCCCATATCTTCCCATGTTTTCCGGGTGTGTGTCTTCCCCCCCCACTTCCCATATCTTCCCATCTTGTCTGGGGAATCGACGATTCATTGTGTCTGTGTGTTTTTGTTCCCTCCTCCCGACTTGAGGCGGAGAGTCGGGTCGGGCGAAAAGGGGGGATAGCAAAGGGGGGGGGTGAGAATCAGCTCACGTAGCTGGTTTTCCCGGCGCCTCCCGGCGCCGGAGGCGGCTATGCATCGAGGAATGGGACCCTCGGTGAGGCCGAAACCAGCTGCATGCAGCAGATTTCGTAACCCCCCCCTTTCCCAATCCCCCCCTTTCGTCCGGCCCGAGAGAGGCGGCCGCGCGCAGCTGGTGCTCCCGGCGGGCGCCCCCGGGCGGCCGGGGGGGCGGCCGGGAGCAGAGGGGGCCATGGGCGGCGGGTCGGCGAGCAGCGGCACGCCGCGGGTGCCGTGCAGCCCCCCCCCCCCCAAGATTTGGAACGCCCCCCCCAGATTTTGAACGCCCAGGATCTTGAACGCCCGAAATGGGTACTCCAGATTTCGTAAGAAGGGGAGGGGGGTCTCATTTCGGGGGGGGGTCTCTTCCAGGCTGTCTTGGAGGGCCTGGGGCCCGCCTGGGGACGATGTTTTGGAGGGTTCTCCCACGGGGGGGGTCTGAAGTGGCTTGTCTTGGAGGGTCCAGACCCCCTCCCTTTTATTACGAAATCTGGAGTACAATGCCCCACAACGAATCTCGTCCCAAAGCAACAGCGGCCGCTGTGGGGCAGGCGGCCCGGTGTCCCGGAGGGGCACAGGCCGCGGCGACACCGACGGCGAGTCCTGTGTCAAAGTGGACAGGAACTGCTGTTGGGCATTGTACCCATTCTTTCCGTACCTATTCTGGGCGTCCAGGAAGATCAGGTCGGACATGTCCTCCTACAGGCGGATTTTGGACGAGAAACAGGAAATACAAGAACAAGTCAAACATAGCCAAGGAAGAGTCCAACAAAGCATCGTTCCCCGACGGCTGTTTCCCCACACGCTTCGTGGGATTATGGTTCTCTTCCTTCCCGCGTCGCACCCGCATCTCCTCACCCCTCCTCCTCGTTCTCCTTCTCACCCAGCACAGCACAGCGCAGCACAGCAAGGTCAGGTCGGACATGTCTTGTGGATGCCATGACAATGGACTCTAACAGTCCGATCATTTAATTAAACACGCGTTCAAAGTGTGTAAAACGTGTTCTAAAAATGATTCACACATGATTTTTGCATATTTAAAAATGGCTTCGGCATCTGGAAAATATTTGGCAGCATGTTCCCTCTCCATTAATCGACTTCCACAAGACATGTCCTCCTACAGGCGGATTTTGGACGAGAAACAGAACATACAATGAACTTTCAACAATAACCAAGAATAGTCCAGCAACAATCGTTTCCTGACTGTTTTTGTGAACTTTGGGGGGATGCTCCTCCTGTACAGGGACGTGCCCGACTTAACCCTAAGACGATTGGGGACTGGCTCAAGGGGGGGGGGACGTCGAGATTGAGTCGGCGATACATCGCCAACAGATCGGTGATGGGCCCCTATCGCGAAACCGCATGGGCCTGGGGGGAGTGAGCTATCGGGCCCCTATCGACGATCACCTGGGTGATTGGGAATCGATACGTCGCCCCGGATGAGCCTATCTAAGGATAAGCTAGGACGAGGATGACATCGGGTGAGGAAAAATCGAGAATCTCCGAGATGCGGCGGCTCTGGAGGATGTCTCGGGCGCAACGGCCCTCTCAAACCGTTCCCAAAGGCTCTGAGAGCGTTCTGGAACGCTCTGGAACTGATCTATCCTCGTCCTAGCCCCGCCCGACCCCCCCCTCCCTGTGTTTCACCAGTCCAAAAAGAGGCCCCCAAGATGGCCCAACGAGGCCCTCCAGCATGGCCCAGGGAGGCCTCCCAGGATTGCCCAGAGAGGCCCTCCAAGCTGGCCCACAGAGGCCTCCACGATGGCCCAAAGATGCCTCCAAGATAACCCGGCATGTTCCTGCCGTTCCCCCGCCTTCTCGCCCCTGCCCGCGCCCCCGTGCCGCGTCGTGGTCGGCGGGGGCGTTCGGCGCGCGCGCGCGCGGGCCCTCGCGCGCCGTGTGGCGATGGCGTCGGGCTCGCCCGACGCTCTGGCGAAGCTGGGCTGCAGACTGGAGCCCACAGGCGCGCCCCGCAGCGAGAGGCCGCAACGTCACCGGGTGTGCAGGAAAGCGAAAAGGCCAGAATGGCGAGCAGTGGCCATCGCTCGGACGTCCATTCCCTGTGTTTTTGTTCGATCTC